CTTTTTTTTTTTTTTTTTCCTTTTTTTTTTGGGGGGGGGGGGGGGGGGGTGGAGAGGGGGGTGTCGTGCACCAAAAATTGATTTGTTTCCGTGGTAGGCTCGGCAGTCAAATCAAGCCCTGGCGGCAGCGCTAAAAAACAAGCCAAGCTATTTTCATTCTTTGGCAAAGCTACCACGCCATCGACCAAGCCGAAAGTCCAGCCTGGCAAGGCTTCCTTGACAAGCGATGCCACCTCTTTGTCCGACAAATTTCAGCAGAGCCCAACCGCCCCCAACTCTGGATCGCAAGCTTCCCCGTCGTCCACCCTTGCATCTCCGCCTCCTTCAATTCAAACGACTGTGGTCAAATCCGTCAAGACCAAGCTCGATGTCAGCCCTGACCAAGCCGTCATTGCCCCTACCCAAACCCCAGCACGGCCGAGTATGAGCACTGAGCCATCAGCAAGGGCGACAAAGACACAACGTAGTGCTGTCGCTCGCTCTTCCTCGCCGCCTTTGTCCCAACGTGCGCGAGCTGCGGCACGTCGCTCGGAGCGTTCCAGCCCCAAGGTAAGTTAGCAATCGTCTTGAAACATTGTACCGTGTCGTCAATGATACGTTTGCATTGTTCTTTCGATTGACGACTGCATTTCATTCTGTTTGATCTGTTGATGTATTAGCGCGCCCGGGAGGTTCTCATTGAGCTGGAAGAGTCGTCCTCCGATGAGTCGGAAGAACCACTGAGCGAAGACGAGTACTGCCCGGATGACGAAGAGTTGGAAGCCGTCAAGCGTGAAGAAAGTGAGGACTTGGACCAAGGTGAGTTGGAAGCACGGCCACAGTCTAATTTGTCATCTGGGGCGCTTCGTCGATGATCGAGTCAGCTGGCCCTTCTTTGGTGCACAAAACTCAACGCGCTTGCATCGCTTGATCACGCCTGGTGCTCCTTTCGAAAGACTCAGAGAGCGAGGTGCCGGATGAGAGTGATGGCGTGCTTGAGTCAGAGCCCGAATCAGACGGCGAGCGCCGTTCTGCGGCCAAGACCCGTCGAAAGCGGGCGCCCAGCTCCGCTAGTAAAACTCAAAAGGCAATCAAGCCCTTTTCGCCAACCTCAGCTCACTCAGAGCTCGATAATTTTGCGGCACGGACGTCGCGAACCCCACCAAAGACTGTAGCTCCAAAGTTTGTACCTACTTCGCCTTGTCTGACGTCACATGGCTGCCTTGCCTCAGCCCGTGCTCACAACTGTCTATTCGTGGCCTACTGACTTGATTTCATAACCATTCAGATCCAATGGTCCCCTCTCCCAGAGCGAGGCCGGCGCCGGCGCCACCTCCAACGCTGGTCGCTTCCGCTTTTTGGCCGACCTGCGCGACTCTGTACGGTTCCGCGTCAAATCTTTTTATGAGCTCTCTTATTTTCCACAAAGCTTGATGATGCCCATGGCTTTTTGCTTTTCAGCGCATCAAATCACTTCCGTTTCGTGGCCAATGTTTCTTTGATCTAGCATCGTCGCAAACCAAGTGATCCCAATTATGACCCAACCACGCTTCACATTCCGACTCAAGAGTTTGAAAAACTCTCTCCGTTTGAAAAGCAGGTGCTGACTACCAGGGCCACCTTTTGTTTGCCCTGCTGGTTTTTGACCTGTGTACCAAACCGCGCTAGTACATTGAATGCTCTGCTGATTTTGCTGCTGACAACTTTTTTTTGTTGGTGTGCATGGCAGTACTGGACCATCAAGAAAGACAACTTTGACACGATTCTGTTCTTCAAGAAAGGTACGTCTTTGTATTTTCCCGCCGCCCGCCTGTCGTGCATGGCGTGCCTTCCGTTCCGGCAACCGCGTAATGCTCAAAGTCTGCTCTTGATGCACTCCTATTGCACTCTATAGGCAAATTCTATGAGCTCTATGAGCAAGATGCCTTCATTGCCAACCGCGAATTTCAGTGGAAGATCACAGAGCGTGTTAACATGTCGGTACGGAAGCTGGGTGCTGTCTGTTCCTTGACAATGCTTGCGGCCACGCCCAGTCTCATCCCATTTGACCAGATGGCCGGGGTCCCAGAGTCCACAATGATCGACTGGGCGACGCGCTTCCTGGCGCTGGGATTCAAGGTGAGTTATTTGCTTCGCTAGCTCCGTCGCACTCGCCATACAGTCAGCGCCAATCCAGTCACAACACTTTTTCGTCCGGAAATCCTTATCAGGTCGCGCGCGCCGATGAACGGGAGTCTGCATTGGCCATGCAAATGCGCCAAAGAAAGGAAGCTAAAGGCGGTCAGCCCAATAAGAGTACGTGATCACCTTTTTTTATTTTTTATTTTTTTTCATTTTTTTTTGTTCAAAAAATCATCATACTTTTGGGGTTTTTTCTTGGTGTGCTTGCGCGTCTGAGAGTTTGTTGTTCTGAACAAGCGCTTTTTAAGACACGGTCTCATGCTGCAATAACATGCTAGAGCTCCCAAAGATCATCGAGCGAAAACTGACGACCATTTATACCAAGGGCACTCTAATGGGTGACTTTGTCGTCGGCGATCTGAGTAGCTACATCATGGCCATCAAGGTACCCAATTCGAAGCTGCTGACGACACTAACACTGCTGTAACATCTGTTTGATCTTGGCTCAGTTGGTGTTGATGTCCTACCGGTACAGGAAAGCGATGACGGAGATGCCTATGGCATCGTCTTTGCGGATACAGGTGGGCGCACTGGCACTGGGTGGCATGACACTTCCGCAGCACCTCAAACACATCAGCTTATGAATGATGCTCCCATGCCAAAACTCTCCCGGTCAGCCACCGCTGAGTTTTATTTTTGCAACATTACCAACGATCAGCGCAAGATTCAGCTGGAAACAATCCTGGTTCAGGTACACATTTGTTCTGTCCCAGTCAACGCGCTCACCCCTGCGCAATTTTTTTTTTTCTCTCTCCTTCGGCGTGGTTCTCATGATGAGTGATGAGAGCTGTTGTCTTTTTACGCTCATCTTCGCGTGTTGGCAATAGATCATGCCCAAGGAATTTGTTCTCTGCCGCAATCAATGCTCAAAGGTTTGTGTGTGTGTTGGGTGTTGTTTTGTGTTGTCGTGTGTTTTCGCATGTGTTTTTTGACTTCCTTCTGGTCATCTCTCACCCCGTTGTCTGCTCATGACTGGCTTATGACGGCAGGAACTCTTGGCTTTGATCAAAACGAACGTTCCGCACGCGGATCTCTCATGGCTGGATGAACACCACGAAGTGCGTTGTCATACCTGAATATTCTCACTGGTATCGTTGGGTGTCGCGTGGCCGACCCCAACTGCCCATCTCGACTCGGGGGTTTTATTTTCTTTTTAATTCTTGCGGCAGGGCTGGAGGCCAGACTTCGTCAAAAGCATGGTGGACAGCGACAACTACAATTTGCGACAAACGCGGTACAATCTCGCCCTGCAGTTATCAACAAATTGTCAGATGCAGTTCTTGTTGCATCTTCGCTCAATATTTTGTGCCAACCTCGCAGCCTGGAGGAGTTGATCTCAGCCGACCTCACATGGGCTGCTTTCGGTGGCCTGGTATCATATTTCCAAAAATTATTGGTCGACAAACACGTGCTGCCTCAAGGTCAGTCCGACGCGCTCGGCAATTTTGAGGGGCCAAAGCCTTCCATGCTCATCCAATTTCGGATTTCTGTAAAGGTCGCTTTGAAACCTATGATCCTGTCAAGCATGGTGCCATGTTGGTGATGGATGGTCAAACGCTACAAAACTTGGAAATCTTGACAAACAATGTGGATCGTACCAGCAAAGGAAGCTTGTTTGAACTCCTCTGCCATACGGTCACGCCTTTTGGCAAGCGTCTGTTCCGGTGCGTGCTTCAGCCCGTTTTGAGAATACTATCTTGCGTGCATCGTTTTGAAGTGGCAGACCTGCCCCGTCACCCAGCTCGCTCGCGTACCGTCTCCCGTTGCGTTGCACTTGATTTTGCTACCTGCTTCATCTCACCTCAAGCTGCTTCATCGTGCATTATCAACCCGCAGGAGATGGCTTTGTCATCCTTTGCGCCATGCACGTGATATCGAGCAGCGCCAAGCCGCCGTTCAAGACTTCATGAACGACGCTGTACTTGCGTAAGGAGTTTTCACGCAAACATTTCTCACTTCGCTGCCAATACGTGTGCCATGCTGCATGAACGCTTTGCCTCACATCTGCACCTGCCGTTGCACTTTGACAATTGCCAGCGATGAGGTGGCCATCCTAATGAAAAGTCTGCCTGACTTGGAGCGCTTGTTGGCGCGAGTTCATGCTGGCTCGTGTAAACTCAAGGACTTTTTGGAACTGCTCGATGCGTTTGCACGCCTGAACGATACAGCCCACCGCTGGGTAGCCGATAATCGTCTCAATCAGGTTACAGCTGTGCGTTTGCAGCAACTTCTCACTCCGGGAAAGGCTCTCCCGCGTCTCGAAGGTATGTTTATGAGTGCCATTTGTTTGCCTTGCATTTTGCATTCCAAATGTTGAGGTGCTCTCCGTCTCGCCATGCTATCAGCTTCAGCCTTCTCAATGTCTCGACGTTTTTTTGAATTTGGACCCCTGTAGAGCCATTGGAACGCATCAAGGCGAGTTTTGATCACGAAAAAGCGCTTGCAGATGGCATCATGGAACCTACCATGGGCGCACTCTCTGATTTCGATGCAGCTACAACAACTTTGGATACGTTGACAAAGGTGGGGTGGCCATTCATTGCACCTCCTTTCGCAATGACGACCGAACAACGCTCGCATGCTCGCCCCGCCCGTCCATTGTGCAGTGTGGCCCGATGGTGACTTTGTGTTCGTCCACATGCGCCTGTTTGCAGGAACTTGACGTGCACTTGCAAAAGGCCAAGAACCGTCTGAAAAGCAACAAAGTAAGTTTCCACCCTAAGTTCTTATCGCTCAGTCGGTGGTGATGCTGGAAGACTGTTCGTGACACCTGACTCATCCTTAATTGATGCCAGGTTGTGTATTGGCATCCGAGCGCCGGGCGCGACCGTTATCAAATCCAGGTAATGCCTGCCAGAAAGCAATCAGCATGGCAACTTTTGTGGGCTTGATGCCAAAGGCCACTGCTAATTCATGTTCGCTACCGTCTCATCTCATGCTTTGACAGGTGCCAATGGCAGATACCAAAGGCGTTCCAAGCGACTGGCGCCTGCTGTCCTCGACCAAGGTCTGTAGCGCACCAAGATCATGTTGGACCCTACGACTTTTCCTCAGCCGCTTGTCCTGTGATCTTTTAGAATTTCAAACGCTATCACAGCCCCGAAGTCTTGGCACGCTTGCAGCCTCTCCTGGAAGCAGAGGAGACCCAGCGTCAAATTCGTAGCCAGTTCTACGCCACAACATTGTGCAAAATGGACTCATACGCAGAAGTATGTTGTGGCATCTTGATTTGCGTGGGACGAAGCAGCTTTCTCTAACCGAACTCAATGCCATGAGTTGAGCTCTGAGCTATTCTCACAAATCGCGCTTATGATCGACCCTCCCAGGTTTTTAGCGCGGCAGTGGCGACTTGGGCGGAAGTGGATTGCCTGCTGTCTTTGTATCGCGCAACTCATGGTGCGTTGTTTTGGTGCTTGAAAATGAGTAAGGCCAGACCTTTTTTTGTCTCTGGCTAATGGATCATTGTGCGATGATGTGGTATAGTTTTTGGCGATCCGTGTTGCCGGCCAGTGTTTGTCAATGCAGCAGATGCTGGGCAAAGCTCGGGAGCTTCGATGCAGATTGAAAGCTCGCGTCATCCTTGCATGTCGGAGACGGGTATCGTGACCGGTACGTCAACATCATTGGTTCCAGCCTAGAACGATGCAATTTTTATCAATTTCGCCCGCACAATGGCGATCTTGCAGCTTCATTGAGAACGTGAGATTTGGCCTTTGATTTATTTGTGTTCCTGTTACTAGATTTCATACCAAACGACATCCGTATTGGTGGTGATGCTGCACCCGTAGTGTTGCTAACTGGGCCTAACATGGTGTGTCGCACCCTTACGGCTGCTTCATTTATGGACCTCCGGCGCCGTCGAGGCTATCTCACCTAAATTCTGCTTTCTTTGCGAATGCGCTTCACAATATCCTATAGGGCGGAAAATCGACCTTATTGCGCCAAACCTGCATCACCGTCATCATGGCGCAACTTGGCTGTTGGGTTCCAGGTATTGCGAGTTTGTTTTTGTTTTTTTTGGTTTTTTTAACATGGCACCTGCGTTCCTGAGCTAACCGGTCGTTGCATTTGTTTTGTTTTGTTTTGTTTTTCATTCGGTGGGGGGTGAATGGTAGCTGCGCGATGTGTGCTTTCTCCGGTTGACCGCATTTTCACACGAATTGGTGCCAATGACAACATTATGGCTGGGCGGTGCGCGTTGCCTCTGCGTTTCGGCAGACACCCAAATTTGGCATGATCCCTACTGATAAGATGCACCGAATACTTAGGTCGACTTTTCATGTCGAACTCAAAGAGACGTCCTCTATTCTGGAGTCAGCTACGGCCAATTCACTTGTTATCCTTGATGAGCTTGGTCGAGGCACGAGTACCTTCGATGGCTACTCAATCGCGTACGCCGTCCTTCGCCATATTGTTCAACACATCAAGTACGTAGGCTTGCGGGTGCCTCAAACTGATTGAAGGCGTATCCCGTGTTTTCTCAATTATGACTTGGCTCTTTGATAGATGTCGCACACTGTTTGCGACACATTATCACATGCTGACGGAAGAATTTCAACCAGAGCCTTTGGTGGCAAATTTCAACATGGCCTGCATCGTCGACGAGGTATGCGTGACAGCGCGAATCGTATGGCTTTTTATCGTCAAGCTTATTTTGATCCGCAAATTGTGTCGTCAACCTTCCTTTCAGGGCTCCAAGCGCGATGTTACCTTCCTGTACAAGTTGGTACAAGGCGTTTGCTCAAAGAGTTATGGAATGAATGTGGCCGCCATGGCAGGCTTGTCGGTAAGTTGGTGCTCTTGATAAATCAGAGTGTACCTTGCTCAACAAAACAACCCTTTCATGCCTCAGGATGCGGTGATTCAAGCCGCAGAGCACAAGGCTCGAGAATGCGAAAAGAGCGCTGCTTTTCGCAGCTGCGGTCTTCGACAAAAGACGCAGGTGTGACCCTGTGAGATTCACTCATGCTGCTAGGCATCTCGCTCATCTCATCTTTCTTCATCAATTCGCACTTTCAGTTGAAATTGGAGTCGGAGGTAGCTGCGATTTGCTCACTCTTGGCGGGTCAGCCATCCTCTTTCCAGTCTGCACCTCTCTCATAGCGAGCGATCTTTTTTTTCAATCTCTCTGCGTCATCCAAGTGTGACAAAACACACGGATTGAGCTTTCAACCGATTTTGCCTTCTGTCTGACAATTTCATCTTTTAATTTTTTTTCTTTTTTTTTGAATCAAAACACCAACCAATAAACGGCAGGCAGCCGCTCGGTGCCGTGCAGGGGTGTGCGCACTTGGAAAGGTACTGCCTGCGCTCCAACTCCGCTGCAGGACCACACTTGTTACGAATGGCAAAAAAGACGAACAAGCCACGATTTTAAGAAGACGACATGGCGTCGACATGGAAGCAAACAAGACGACAGGCGCGTCGACGTAAGTCACCTGAATGGCTCGCAACTGTGTTTCCGAGTATTGCATGTCCGGCATATCAAGTACTTGAGCATTCAAATCAACCTCTGTGCATGATCGATCTGCTCTACTCTGTGGACGAATAGAGAGCGCGCCAGATAAGCTGCCAAGTCTCACACGTCTTCGCGGTTCAATGACGGTAAACTTGATGAGTCGGATCAAGGACGATGAGGATGAGATTGGCCAAGATGACGCAGTCGAGGGATCTGAGCATCAGCGGCGACACACCTACATGGAGGAATACAATCTCGCAGACGACCATGACGTATTTTGGGACTCTTATGGCAGCATCAACAGATATACTCCACTGAAGGAGCGCTTGTCTGCATATTCGTTCCGAACGTTGGACAACGAAGGAGAACCTTGGAAGCGTAACAACGAAGAGGAGTTGGACCACGCACGAAGGCAAAGTGATGTAGCAGGATACATTTCGGAACCGATGGGCCGACACGTGAGTCAGCACGACCATCGCGGGCTGGCAGCCATGGACGGCGACGAGGATTGGAAGCGTGTTAGCCGAGACGGAACGTCGATGGTACCGCTTGGTCTTGACGAGTCAGGGCCGATGGGCCGACACGTGAGTCAGCACGACCACCGCGGGCTGGCAGCGATGGACGGCGACGAGGATTGGAAGCGTGTTAGCCGAGACGGAACGTCGATGGTACCGCTTGGTCTTGACGAGTCAGGGCCGATGGGCCGACACGTGAGTCAGCACGACCATCGCGGGCTGGCAGCCATGGACGGCGACGAGGATTGGAAGCGTGTTAGCCGAGACGGAACGTCGATGGTACCGCTTGGTCTTGACGAGTCAGGGCCGATGGGCCGACACGTGAGTCATCACGACCACCGAGGGCTGGAGACGCTGGACAATGATGCGGACTGGAAGCGCGTGGGCCGCGGGGAGACGGCGATGGTACCTCTGTCCGTGGACGCGACGGCCTCGGGTGGTCATGTGAGTCATCACGACCACCGAGGGCTGGAGACGCTGGACAATGATGCGGACTGGAAGCGTGTGGGCCGCGGGGAGACGGCGATGGTACCTCTGTCCGTGGACGCGACGGCCTCGGGTGGTCGACACGTGAGTCATCACGACCACCGAGGGCTGGAGACGCTGGACAATGATGCGGACTGGAAGCGTGTGGGCCGCGGGGAGACGGCGATGGTACCTCTGTCCGTGGATGCGACGGCCTCGGGTGGTCATGTGAGTCATCACGACCACCGAGGGCTGGAGACGCTGGACAATGATGCGGACTGGAAGCGCGTGGGCCGCGGGGAGACGGCGATGGTACCTCTGTCCGTGGATGCGACGGCCTCGGGTGGTCATGTGAGTCATCACGACCACCGAGGGCTGGAGACGCTGGACAATGATGCGAACTGGAAGCGCGTGGGCCGCGGGGAGACGGCGATGGTACCTCTGTCCGTGGATGCGACGGCCTCGGGTGGTCATGTGAGTCATCACGACCACCGAGGGCTGGAGACGCTGGACAATGATGCGGACTGGAAGCGTGTGGGCCGCGGGGAGACGGCGATGGTACCTCTGTCCGTGGACGCGACGGCCTCGGGTGGTCATGTGAGTCATCACGACCACCGAGGGCTGGAGACGCTGGACAATGATGCGGACTGAAG